AAATGAAGGCACACCATCTTCAAGATGCAATGCAAAATAACCGGAGCGGAGGTTAGAGCCGAAGAATTTGTTGGTAAGAGGGTTGAAAAATCCGAGTTCACAATGAAACAGGCTAAATTGGAGAAGGCAAGCTGAAAAGATCTCGAGGTCACACTCTAACATTTTAGGGAAGACCCGACCCTCAGGTAAGGTTCTTTCCTGTAGTCCCCATCGATGAAGGATTGAATGATCCCCTCCTTCCTGTAGTCCCCGCGTTCTTGCCACGAGGTTAATAAGTGGCACCTGCCTTAGTTTGCGTGCCCCGGACCTTCTCTGTTGGGCGACACCATCCAATCAACGTTAAGTAGTCGGTTCAACGGCTGTGGCTGGCCACTTTCATGTTAGCTTCACAGGGCTACTGCGTCCATACCTCCATACGATGGAATCGGGGCCTGCTAGCGAAAGTACCAACTTTTCCGTTTTCATTCCCATATCCATTGAGCCGTATATACGAATTTAGCCTGCACCTATCACTTCCCGGATATTGAGAGATTGCTTTCGACTCCGTATCTCGGTTTGAGGTTCTAGATTCCCTAAGTCACCTTAATTTTGCCGGTCCCTTGTGATGCAGCTTGATCCTCAAGACTCGGGAACGGGACAGTCTTGCACTCCATCTCTGAATGCAATTGTCATTTGCTACTACGTGGCTCTTTTGAGGATATACACAACAAATGATCAGATGAGCTAGAACTACATCGTTTCCGGCGAGGCCTCCCTTGCCGACGTGGTTGATTGACAGACCATTTCCATCACCCGCACACGTAAGGACCTAAGTAGCTTTCCCCATACACATCTTCGAGTTTCTGTCGACTCGTGACCAATACTTTTCCTTACCCTAGCAAACATTGTGACAAAGGGAATAAACAGCAGTCCAGTTACACGCCAATAAACCTTCTCAATGCAAACCTTTCTCCAACATCTGCTGATGATCAACTGTAGTAAATGTGACAAGCTCCAACCACATCGGTGTCGAACCCGGTTGTGTGATGACAAAACAATTCAGATCTCCTCGGCGGGAAGTGCACCGCTCATGAGGGGGACATCGGCCATGTCATCGTCATCATTTTCTTCCTCCGAAAGTGTGCTACTGGCAGCTCCGCGCTCCAGTTCCTCGATGCTGTCAAGAGCCCGCACAAACTTCTCGCGTTCCCCCCTGAGTGTTCCCCGCTTGGCTGCGGTGTCGGAATCCTCCTCCATGAGTCTCTCATAAACACTCTTGGCATCAGCTCCAGCAATGCCTAGTTTTCGGTCGAGATGGAAGGGCAAATTTCGCTGGATATGCGGTATCATGCCGTTTGTAATGTGCAACGCCACGGCATCCGCGAACCTCAGCGCTGCAAGGCGGTAGTAGCCTCTAACGTAAGCTACCACTTCCAGCTCCCGCTCGAAGGAGTCCGGTCCAAGTTTTGTCAACTCGTTTTCACGTCGCTTTTCGTCGAGAACACGCTTCTCCTCTGTAAGACTTTCCCACGGAACAGGAGCTCGACCATCCCCGTACCCTGCGGCCTGCATACGCATTTGGTGGCGATAACGCGTTAAGAGAATCTGTTCGTCCTTTTGATATCTGCGAAAGGCCTCCTGATTGACAGTGAACAGGCCGTACGTTTCGAGGCGATACACAAGATCTAGTGCTCCCGCTGTTTCTCTGCGACGGTCGTTGAGATACTCTGTTAAAATTTTCCTGCACTCCCGGAAGATCAACCGCTTATTGAGGCTTGCAAAAGACTTGGCCAGTGCCTGATCAAGCATGTCATCCAACAGGCTCATAACATGATCGAGAAATGCTTTCATGGGCCCTGACCATGGTTCAATGGCTTCTCGGCACATGTCGTTATAGACTTCTTCAGTGATGATGTCAGGTACACCAGCTCTGGTCTTAGACTTGATCTCATCACGAACTTGTCGGAGAGTCCTGAAGCCTCGCCCAACTCCACTAAAGGGAGTAAATGGGGCTGGGAAGAGTTGCCGTCGGGGAGCAGGGGAGTTGGCCACGCTGGCTCTGCTGTCTTCAGGCTGTAGCGATCGAGAGGGAGTCCCTGCTGGGGTTTGCTCCATGCGAACACGTTTAGATGGCGTAATAGGCGGCGCCATCGCCCGCCGCTTGCTGGGCGTATGTGGGTTGATGGCTGGCGCCACGGACCCCGAATCTGACTCATCATCAGAAATATCAACAACAGGAATATCACTGCTATCTCTGAGGGTAAACTTGGGCTTCATATCTAGCAGACAGTCGCGAAAGTTATCCGGGAGCGGAACGAAATGCTTCGAGAACTCGGAAGGCTTGAGTTGTGTTCGGGTCAGTTCACCAAACTCCATAACACTGGTCTGGACCTCGAGTTCAACATTGTCAGGTAGTTCTGGTAGCTTGTCAAGTTGCTCAACGATGTCAGTTAGACGCTGTCTTAGCTTCTGCTTGATATGGGGTAGACTAGTGAGAAATGTTAGCCTTGTTCCTGAGATCGTGCGGGATAGCAACTCCTTGGGTTACCTTTTCGCGAATTCTTGCCCAAGCTTTTCCGACAGGAAAGCCTTCAACTTTTCCACACCACATCGCTCCGAAAATCCATGAAACGTTGCAGGCCAACGCTCGAGAGAATGATCCACGAAAACTAACTCTTCCCATTTCTTAAGTTCATCAAGATCCTTGCCCTGTGGCCGCGAAGTGATGAAATATCCCAGACCAGCAATATGAGCTTGTCCCCTCATGATAGCAAGCCATTGCTCATGGTTTCCGCCCTCCGGTATCAGATCAGCCTTGGTCAAAACGCCGATTGTCCTGTTAAGAGCGCCCAGTCTACGTATAAGACCAAAAGTTGAAGAATTCTCTGCATCGCTGTTCATTGGCATAGAACACATGATAATAGCAGACGGGTGTTGGATATACTCCTTGGACAGATTCCTCACGACACTAACAAGATAGTCGTCGCTTGCATCAGCAGGGTTCTGGAAAATACCAGGCATATCGTAGAAAGAAAGGTCGGGAAGTTCTGGACCTTTGATCTCGAGTGCAACGATATTCGGTGAAAACTTCGCGGCAACTGCTTCGGCGGCTCTGTCAATGGGGATGTTGACAGCCAGGGCACCTGAGCCAGGGACAAATAGCTCGTGACTCTTGTCGTCATTGAGAATAGCGATTTGGGCCCACCTCAAAACATCTTCAATCTCACTGTAATCGATCATGGTCTTGAACTCATGAGTCGCACTGGATGGTAGTTTGCGCCAGGGGAAGAAAGGATCTCTGTCAGTGACGTCCCCTTCCGAGATGCGGCCACTAGGTGGGGGCTGATAGGAGTATGCTTTGCGTAGCGATACACGACAAGAGGGATCATGACTTCGTGATACCCTGATATGGAGCGGGCATCGTGTGCATGTGCCCTCACTGCGAGGTAGATCGAGATTTGCGAGACCTGACATCAAACTAGATTTTCCTGCAGACTGATCGCCAACAAGCACAAGCTCGGGAAGCGGGACATCGTGGTCAACGCCAAGTTGCTGGAGCTCACCCAGAGTGTCGTTGCACGCCTTGAGCTTCTTTCCGATGTCCTGGAAGGAGGTTTGAAAGAAGCTCCCATCCGTGGGAACATTGGTTGGGCTCTCGGCGGCTGCGTTGGGACGCATCCTGAGTTCCCTCAAGAGAGGTTCAGGTTCAGTGATGCGCTCACTTGGTGTTGCTTCGGAAATTCTGTCAGTGCATGCGTTTGGAAGAGAAGATGAGAGAGGCACTCACGGGCATCCGATCTATGATGATAGAAGGCCTGATCGGGCGGAATATAGCTGGTACTGCCACCGTAACTAGAGGGAGCAGGAGGAGCAGTGCGAATACCGAAGTTGACAGTTCCAGAATCGGGCATAGAAGAAGTATTATCCTCTGGGTCTGGTTTGACACGAGGCCCACGGCGTCTTGATGAGTGTGACATTCTTGTGGATGAGAGACTGTGGGTGGCGCGCGAAGACATTATTGCTGCTGCAGTGGCAGCGGCAGTGGCAACGTGCCGCAAGCAAATTGAATAAGCGATGCCTTAAAGCTCATGAAATTGGCCTATTGTTTTTCTGCTTCACAGAGTAGGCTGCAAAGCTGGAGCCTGCCTGGTTGGCCCGTGAGCAGGCAAAGCGCAGAATTGGCTGGAAAGAAAAAGAGGGGTATCAGAAAGCAGTTGTAAGTGAAAGAGAATTGAATAAGAAAGGATTCAGCGTAATTCACTGAAAAAAGGAAGTATCACAGACGTGGATATACAGAATAGGAGATGTTGAGCTGAAGTTTCATATGTAAGACGTCGCTCGCAGATTGGCGGTTGGCAGCCTGGGCTCCTATCCATGGATGCTTGCTTCTTTCTAGTGGCACTACCGTTGCTCTGGGGCAACACGCTTCGCCGATAATTCGCGATAGGGCGTGACGGTTATGAGAGTAATTGAAGGCGCGCAACATTTCCGAGTGCATCTAAAAATCTCTTCCAGCTACTAAACAGAGTCTAGTGTAATGTTCCGACATTTTCCATACCAATTGGTCTCTATTGAGAAGCTGGTGCTGCGATTATCGTCCCCTGTCTTAACAGCAGTTATTGCTGCATGGAGTGGATGAGATGCAGCCAGGAACAGCAGATAAAAAAGGAGGCTGGGGCAGGGCTGCAGGCGATAACCCAAAGATAACGCGTTAGCGCGTCAGTGTTCCCTCCCCCTGAGCGGCAGTTGAATGAAGCCTTCTCCGCAATTAGGCATATCAAGCTTGGTCAGTGCGCTCCAATCAAACAATTTTATTGTCTTACGGCGGTTTGCCTATTGACTTCGTCTTGATACGTACTATAGTAACCTACCTTGAAACGATAGACCCTACAGTGGGTGAACAGCCTAACAGCTCCCTACCTAGAAGCGGGTAGTGGGTCTGTCACACAACGTCCCGTCCCCACATTCAATCATCTATCTTATTCCCGTCCTCCGGAACTTCACTCCGACATCCAATGCCAATGAGCTCCATTGTTCGTTCAGAAGTCGAACAAATGGACAATGAGATAAACGTGCGATCGACTCGAGCCCGAGCTCGCAAGCGCGAAAAGATATCCAACGCGTCAGTTCATAGCTTCTCTCATACCTTGTCAATTTAATTGACGCTGAGTAGCTGTATCGCCTGCCGCAACAGCAAGACTCGCTGTTCAGGGCGCCATCCTTGTGAAAGATGCATTAGACGTAAGGAAACTTGCGTCTTTGAGGAGAAAGAAAAGAAAGTAGCAGTATCTGTAGAGTATGTGATTGGTCCAGGTAGATTGAACCTTGCTAAGACTGATGGACTTAGTTACCTCGACCAATTACACGCTCGCATCGAGTCACTTGAGGCTCAATCACGCTCCGTCCAAGGTCTAAACTCGACCACCGAAGCCCTCTCATCGGGTTCAGTGCAGCTTAATGCTCGCTATCCATCAAGAAACCCTCCGCAAAGCCCCCTGGGCGAAACTAGGACGCCGTCGGTATGTATCACATCGTGAATGTGCCCTGTTCCTTGACTAAGTCTTGAAAAGAGATCGGAGTCCAGTTCCCTTACAAATACCCTTGTCACTTCCGAGCCACAGATCAAGGTCCATCGCTATGGACATGCCGGTGCGTCTGCCGTTTTTTACCTTGAAGAAACTGACATGCTTACCGCATTAGCCTACCTTGGGCACAGCTCGACTCTCAGCTTCAGTCGCAATGTCCGCAACCTTCTTCAACGGTCATCCCCAATCGCAGATCCTGGGAGCGTATCTATGGAACGACAGGACATATCTTATACACGAACACTGCCGCCAATAGCTCTCGATCTGTCAAGTATCGCATTGCCAAAGCTCTCTTACGCTGAATACTTGACCAACACAGTGATTGTGCACATCGGTTCTCTCTACTCCATTTTTGATGCAGACATGTTTCTTCAAAGACTGAGGAGATTTTACGATGACCGTGACAAAGATTTGGAGATTGATGCAACCCTATGGCACATCCAGATGCTACTTATACTAGCATTCGGCAAGTCGATACAGTCTAGAGAACACTCTGAGATGGGCCCCTCCGGAATGACATACTTCACACTTGCCATTGAAGCTATGCCAGATATAAGAAGACTCTACGAGGATCCTTTGTTGTCAATTGAGGTTCTCTGTTTGGCTGCTTTGTTCATGCATGCAACCGATCTCCTACAGGAGGCCTACGTCACGGTTAGCTTGCGGCTTTGTGCACATTCAATGTTCGTCCAGCTAATTGGTCCTTTAGATTGGCCAAGCCCTGCGAATTTCTGTCACCAAAGTTCTGAACAAAAGGTTTCCGGAAGCTTTGAGATCCTCAAACTTTGAGTACCAAAGACGTCTCTGGTGGACAGTATACTGCATCGACAGGAAGTGCGCGGCAATGCTAGGCAGTCCGTCTGTCATGAGAGACGATGACATCTCAATTCCGTTCCCAGAAATAAAGTCAGGAGATGAGTCGCAAAGCGCATTCGCTATCCATGCGATCCTTTCTTCTCATCTCGGCAAGATCCTTGATGGTGAGCTTCATGACCTATACTGTGTGAATGTTTACTTATATAGACGTTCACAGCCATATATGGAGTACACGATCATCAGCGGAGTTTCCTTCTTGAAGTGAAGTCAATTCTTTCTCGTATTGCAGAAACTTACGTTATCCTACGTCAACATCTTCCGTTAGATGTCCAGCAACCAAGCCAACCAGTTTCTCGCGAGTCTGCTACACTCCATCTTCTGCTCCACCAGGCATGTTACTCACAAAGTCTATAAACCCGCACTAATTAGGTCTCAGTGTGTGATTTTGACTGTTAGGCCTGTTCTCTTCTCACTTCTCAAGCCTCTTCTAGCATCAAATGCTCCCATACCCGATGCTCGCCACTCTTCGTCGCCATTTGAGTCGATGCTGAAGATGTGCATCGAGTCTGCTGTCCAAATTCTCAAGATCATGTCAATTCTGAAGCAACAGATGATGTGCGGTGAGTTCGTCAGCTCCGTCTGTGACTGTATGTTATTAACTTAAGTCCAGATATCTTCTTGCCATATGATATCGATGCACTCTTTTCGGCGGCCTTCGCTTTGATCCTAATCGATATCATCCGGCCAGCAAATGAGCTGCTTTGGGACTTGCCCCAGGTTATGAACCTACTTGGCGAGTTTGTATCACGGCGTGTAGCTCCGGCGCAAGCCTACAGGTCCGATCTCGTGCAAATCTTAGAACTACATACTAAGTTACGAGGGAACAACAGTCGCCAGCATCAGGACACTGGGACCATGTTCAATATGAGTCTTGTTCCTGGCCTGGACGAATATGCTATAACCCAGCCGGGGCAGTTAGGTATATCACCTGACCCATTGTGGGCAAACATAAGAGATGGAAATGTAGTTGGAGATCCCGCGCACCCTAACACAATCCTTTCAGTGATTGATGATCTGAACGTGGAAGGTTTTGATATATCAGACACTGATATGCTTGATAATGGGTGGATGTGGGATATGGACGATATGTCAACAAACATCTAAACTAAATGCTCAATACTAGAGTAGTCATGCATTGCTTCGAAATAACCCAATATAAGACATGGTCAGAAATGTGTGACAGCTTGGGAGAGTCCTAAGAGTTAGCTCCGACTTACACCGGAATCCTGTTCCGTAGATCAGTACGTATAGTGCGGAGCGGGATTCCGAGACTTATTCTCGAGCAATATTTAATAAGGTAAGCTTCTATGACAGCAAACACAAAATTTACGTTCTGTTTTTAACATCATGACGCTGGCTGCCCGTTGTATTGCTCCGGTTTTGTCCATCCTACGACCAGCGGCATATATACCCCAAATCAACATACACCCAAGAACTATCAATTACGGATGTAGTCGCGCATTCTCAGCCTCGATTCGATCTTATGCAGCTATGGATCACGTATTCTCTCCCAAGGCCGTTGCACGTTCGTATTATCTTCTCCATGTCTTTGAACCGAATGTTGATCAGAAGTGCCAGCTATTGGGCCATACACCCAAGCTATCAAGGCCAACGGCATGGTCTTCCTGTCAGGCCAAATCCCCGCCGACTCACAGGCTAGGCTTATAGAAGGAACCATTGCTGAGAAGACGCACAAGATGTGTCAGAACGCAAAGGCTGTTCTAGAGGAAGCAGGTTCTAGCCTTGACAAGGCTGTTCGGGTAACGGTGTGTTGCACATTTGATATTTCCATGTCCTTTTCTGACGATGCTGCAGGTTTACTTTCAGAATATGGATGACATGAAGGAAATGAACGAGGTCTATGCCGAGTATTTTCCACACAAGCCTGCTAGAAGTGCATGCGAATCCCCGAAACTTCCTGCTGGTGCGAGCATGGAGATGGATATCATTGCGTTGCAATAGACTTCCAACATCCAAGACTATTGGATACTTCCAAACAGGCTTATATGAACTTCTCATTGATCCTCATCAAGTCGTGAGATGAACATTTGCTATTGCTCTGTTTGATCATCGCCGTCTGAAGTTCCATAAACTATATCTTATGATACATAAATCCTTGACTGACCTTACACAACAAACCCAACTCTTAGACTGCAGAAGTCTGTCAGTAGTATTAGGCCAGCAGCTTTTGCCACTTTAGATGATACTCTGTGTAGCACCCAGCGTTGGGGGGAATGAACTACCAACTTGAATGTTCACTGGAATATATCCCATCTAGTATTGCTCTTCTTGTTATGCAGTATATAGCTCTTGCATGCTTAGCTGCCAATATCCAAAATGGGAATTCTAGAATAGCATTTCGTTGTAGATTCTCTTGCAACTAAAGTCAAGAATTCGTTCATTGTAGTGTTCAGGAGTGTCACACTCGACCTCTTTTGAGTGTCCATTCGGATATGCTGGTCTTTGGTTGGCTTGCACTTCCAGATCAATCACATAGGAGGGTTCTCCAAGTAAAATAGAGTTCCTGGGTCCGTATCTGGCGCTTTTTGATGGCCACGCTTTTGAGTTTTCCCCTTCGATAGCTGCAGCAAGTATGCCTCATCTCAAGAGCTTCAAATGTTGGAAGCAGACGAAGCTGGAGAGAGCGTACAAAGCGGTCTGGTCGCATTACCTTCTGAAAGAACCGCGTTCTCCCTGGGACTTTCTTCCATTCGAGTAGGCACAAAGATGTGAGAGGACATTGTGATGCCCTTCTTTGTCCCACTCCAAAGGCATTGAGATCTGCATCCTGTATTAAAAGTCCACTCCATCGAGGAAAGGGAAATGGAAAGCAGGAGCATGTCGAAAACGAGTGGCAAAGCGTTCGGCCATAGCAAGTTATCGCCGAAGACTCGAGCTTCTGTAGGATCATGAGGAAACAGTATTTGCAAGGTAAAGTAGGTGTGAGGTGCTAATAAGCTCGGCCAAGTTCTTCGATTGCATCTACCATTAGTAATTAACATGCGTTCACGCTAGGACCACCATGTCAGATCTGACACAAGTCACACGCAACGAGCCGAGACAAATCGATATTCCATTTCAACCGCCCATCTTATCTCAGGTATGTCAGCATCCATCTTGAAGGATTCGCTTAGCGGCGTGGCGAACGAGATGGGCAGGGCCTCAGACCCTGTAATAAGTTGCAACAGAGTGTTGTTAGTGCTGACTGGAGGCCAGGATGTTTCGTCTTTCAATCAGGCCTTATGTCTGCACATCATTCCATGATCCAGTATTTAATGATTGAGCCTCCGCCTTGAACCATCTGCCATAAGGCTGAAGATAATTACCAACCCAACAACAATTTTGGTGATGGCTTCAAAAACGCCCAAGACGCCATCTTCTGGCGCCTCACTTGGGAGCCTTCATCGGCCTACTAACCCCGCAACTACCGGGCGGCAAGTAGGCCACGCAACAATTCCCCACGACCGACCCGTGGCCCTCATGACTTCAGGCGCTCCTCTGCTAAATCCACGTAGCTGCGTTACTTGTCGCAGGCGCAGAGTCCGATGTGACAAGACGATGCCCTGTAGCAACTGTCGGCGGGCTCAATGCGATTGCATCTACCCTGCTCCGGGCCGCGCACCACGTCAGACGCGGCTTGCGCCTACAGGTACTGCCGCTGGGCAGAGTGAGCGTGAGATCGATCTCTTGGATCGATTACGGAAGCTTGAGGGGCTTTTTCACGAGATGAGTGGTCAAGGTACCGCTAGTGAGAATGACATGGAAGTGAGCAATGGAGAATCACCACTAGCTTCAGAAAAGAACAAGAGTGCAAAGGATGTCGTTCAAGCAGCCACTGAGAAGGTCAAGAGAGAGTCTGAGAGCACCGATTTCTCAAAGATCAATAAACAGCTTGGCCGTTTAGTACTCCATGATGGAGACTCCACGCCGCGATACGTCAATAGTGGCTTCTTCGTCAAGCTCAACGATGAGGTACGGTCTCCTCGACAATTCTGAGCATCATCTGACATGCACAGCTCGCTGAAATCCGCAACGAGATGGAGACTATGAACGAAGAAGAAGCCGAGTTTGAAGATGATACGACTCCTGAGCAGTCCCCTCCACAGAACTTGGGTCTCGAGCATGATCACCACAGCTTTCTTTTTGGCTACAGCTCTGCCGATGTTGATCTTACAGGCCTTCATCCGTTGCCCGCACAAGGCTCATTCCTTTGGCAGATCTATCTCGAGAATATTGAACCTCTTGTCAAGGTGTTGCACATCCCCACCATGAGCAGACTCATGACTCAAGTGAGGCGCGGAGAGCATGATCTGCGTCCTGGAGATGAAGCGCTTGTGTTTGCCATCTATTATTCAGCTGTGACTTCTATGGAGACACAAGAGGTGAGCCCTCACTTACACAAGACATGGACGCCGTCTCACACATTCTAGGTTGAAGCAAATCTCGGCGCGTCTCAATCTCACTTCATTTCTCAATTTCGTTTCGCTCTTGAACAAGCTCTAGCCAAGTCTAATCTTCTCAACACCACCAACATGGCTATGCTGCAAGCATTTGTTATCTATCTCACTGTAGTCAAGTGTCACGATGATAGCAAATTCGCATGGACGCTTACCAGTCTCTGTGTCCGAATGGCTCAAGCCCTTGGTCTCTACCGCGATGGTCAGCAGCTTGGCCTCTCACCGTTTGAGGTTGAGATGCGCCGTCGTCTTTGGTGGGCCATTGTGTCTCTTGACGTCCGTTCTGCTGAGGAAATGGGGTCTGATCTGATCATAGGCGACAAGACCTTTGACACTCAACTCCCAGCAAACATAAACGACGCTGATATTGACCCATCGTTTACCGAGACACCAACTCCCCGTCAAGGCCGCACTGACTCCGCCATCTGCCTCTCACGTTACGAGATCACCGCCCTATCTCGAGGCTTATTCACAGCCATAGCGCAAATGCGTCCTGTTGATCCTAAAGAGATGGAAAAAAGCCTTGAAGAGCGTGAGCGCATGCTAGTTGAAGTCTACGAACGCATGGAGGATAAGTTTCTGAAACATCTTATGAGGGAAGATGACCCTATTTTCTGGGTTGCTTCTCTTATTTCTAGAATCATGATGGCAAAGGTTGGCCTCATCATATATCAACCTGTGCTATTCCCCGGGACGGGCCTGGAGGTATCATACGAGATCCGAAGCCGGTTGTGGCAGTCTTGTATTGAGATCGTTGAGTACAGCCACATTCTCAATATTGATCCCAGCTGCAGGCAATGGCGCTGGCTGTTCAAGTCCTACCGTCAATGGCACGCAATTGCATGCATGCTGCTGGAACTCTCGAAACGGCCTTGGGGTGTCACCTCGGAGCGAGCGTGGGAAGCTGCCCAAATTCTCGACTATGATCACCCAATCGATGGCAGCAACAACACAAACCATACTGCTGCATGGATGCCTATTAAAAGGCTCTTCACTAAAGCCAAACGACATCGTGAATCAGAACTTGTTCGGTTACGCGCTGATCCTGAGGCAGCGAGACGTCTCGATCGTGAGGAGAGAATCAAACCTGTACTGGAACGTATTGGTCCTGCGCCCGGAATGGAGACCCGCATGTCAGAACTCCGAGCCCGATGGCGAAAGATATTTCGGCCGGGAGACTTCTCCGATGATACCGAGTACCAGAGCATTTTGCCCAGCGCAGATCAACCTGCGACCTTTCCGCAAACCCAGCAACAGGCCCAACAGCCACTCGACCAAATGAGTGTTTTTGACCCCAATACCTGGCAAAACATTCACTCGGGCAATCCAAACATTGCCATATACTACGAAGGGGTTGATTCTGGAGCGCAGAACGTGGGTGGTCTTTTCCCAGGGGATAGTAGCCTTGGAAGTCTCTCAAGCATTGCATCGCCCGCCATATCAGGGACTGCGTCTACACATAGGAACGACAACGATCCCCAAGCACTTGGAGGGGCTCGCCTATCACCATGGCCAGGTTCAGATGTATTTCAGCACACGCAAGATCCAGGTGCTCTCGGTGATATCGATGAGCTTTTACAAAACAGAGCTGGGCCCAATCCTGGACTCGACCTAAACATGGATCCTGGCGAAGTTGATGATATCGATTGGCGGAACTGGGATGAGACTTTAAGGACTTTGAGTAGGCCTACGATGGATCAAATGGGTGCGGGTGCCGGTAGTTGGGGTGGCATGTGAGCGTAGTGAGCTGATAATGTTACTCAGACTTATTAAACTCTTTGATCCCATGTGGTATATTCTGTCAAGCTTCCACCATAAATTTGTTAAGAGCCATGCTTCCTTTGACAACTAGCTTTTCGAGATAAATTTTTAATTGCACAATTGTATCTGTAGCACTTTGCAACTTTTGGCTTGCAATGAATCGTGGCTACTCCAACGTCTGTCTTTAGTAGAAGAAACTTCCCAATCACGAGGCTTGTATAGAATATTAACTCTAGTTTCTTTTGATAATTTCATGGTTAGGCCATGCTAGAGTTAGTCTGAAGAAAAATGTTTTATGCATGAGGCGAGCAACCCGCTTCTTGATTTAGGATAATCTTGTGACGAGAGTTTACCTACTTTCCTTAAAGTCTTTGAAAACCCAAGACCTACACAAAGCCCACGAAGCTTTTTTGCACATTTTGAAATAATTAAAATTATGTATTTTCCATCTGGTATTGGTTAAATTCGATCAAGCTTCGATGGCTGAAGATTCACTATAAGTTAATCACGTCTGTGACTGAGTGCAACTGTGGTCCTTAACGAACTTTCAGTCCATAATTTCATGTTCACACTTAGCTTAACTGCGTTCATTTCACAGGACTAGCTTTCATATATAGGCAAGTAACTTTCGGGAAGCCTCAATAAACAGCAATATTGTGGCTTGTAAGAAAGAATCTTTGCGTGGAAAGCTTTCAAAGTTACATGAGCGAAAAGCTTAACAAGATATTCTTCCTTATTTATGGGCCACTGCATCCCACCTTCGACCTTTATACACTTCTATCTCTTTATTCTTCAAGAACGTTTCTCAACTTGCAGTCCAACAGGAAACCACATCTTTGATCTCAACATGAGCATCGTCAAAATGAAGGGCTCCAAGCTATGCTTGAAGAGCTATGATAACAACGGGGTTGTCAATAATGTCTTCTTCGTACAAAAAGACCTACCGTGCCCAAACCTGCTGGGAAAGCTACAAGATCTTGGGGCCGTTGAGGCGGTAACCCCCGACATGGTTGAGGTGTCAATCTCCAGGTACTTCTTGTACATCTTCTTGGTCGTTCTTCTCAACTACTTCATGATCAAAAAGCAGCTCAACCCGAAGTCGAACGGTGATGCCAAGAACCAAGGGTCTACCACCAAGTTCAAGCCGCTGGCATGGATTCAGCGCAGCGAATGGAACCGAGCCCGTGCCGTCATCTTTTCGAGCTGGATGATGATCCTTCAGTTCAGCTTCGCCCACGATGCCTGCACACTGGCAAGTGTTCTGACTTACCAAGCATATTTGACGAATTTGGAATGGACAGAGTCCTACATCTTCAGCTCATTCAATGCCGCCGTCCGCATTTTACTTTTCACACTCGGTACTTTTGGCAGCTTATGCCCAATTTACCATACCATGAAGGCGCAAATACAATACATACGTGCTCTCATAGACCTTGAACTTTCACCCGAGCAGACAGCCAAGGATGAGAGTTCGATACCTCAAGAACTTCCAGCCTCTGCTCCTCCAAGCTCTTTCCTTCAACAGACTTCCCCTTACCTGGGAACAAACCGGGAGAGTCCCTGTGAGCATGAGAAGCGTGTCATGGAAACTACTCTTGAAAGGCATACCCCAACTCCTGTCTCTCTTGTCCTCCCTCCCAGAAGTTATCATGCGCACTCAAGGACAACTGCTCAACAGCCCACCTCTGAAGCTGGTCAGCAGGGTTCTCAAACAACTGCTCTTCGCCTTTCACGCAGTGCCCCGGTAGGAAACGCGCCGCCGTCCTGTACGGATTCCACCACGAACGGCGCAAACGACGTTAGCCGCCAGGCAGCTTTTGATGCTTTAGTTAGGCGGCTAGATGGTTCCGCTGTATCTCGCCAGCGCCAACAAGCCTTCAAAAGCAGGCCTGCTTCCAGCTCCACAGGAAGGGTGCCAGTAGGACAAGCATTGGGGGGAGATGCAGCGACGTCCTCAGATTCTCCAGCTCAATCTGAAGACTGGGAATACGTCCACCACGAAGAATGAAAGTCAATTTCTTAGAAAGGAAGCATGGGAATGGCGCGAAGAATATTTGTTTCCTATACCTAGGCAGATAGAGACATACGAGAAAACAAGGGCTCGCTGTCTTAATCTATGGTCTATCTTATACTGTCGTACATCTCAGACAGCCATCGAAGCAAGCCTCCAAGCTTGTGTATGTCGCTAGACAAGCCCCGTTGGCTCAGTGGTAAAGCGTATCACTAGTAATGATAAGATCACTGGTTCGATTCCAGTACGGGGCATGCGAGATTATGTTTTGTCGGTTCTTCTTTTTGTCATGTGCTCAAGTGTCTTCAATGTTATTTATGCATGTGACTCTGTGATTCTTACTTGGTGTTGAGGTGAAATTTTCCTTTTTGGGCGCATTATCCAACGGGAGGTAAAGTTTAAGCAGGGCCCTTTCTCTCCTCCACGACGATTAGTTTCTGCATGTGACAGAGCTCGTCCTTCCAATTGGTAACTTGGCCATCAATTGTCTCTCGCATCTCCTAAGATGGACTAGAAGGCTGGTATGGTATGGTATTATTGCGAAGTGGGTTATTTGAATGCATTTTATGTGCAATGCTAAGTTCATCAACGTCATAGGGCGGCAGCTCAGAAGTGTAGGTTCAAATAAAGCAATGCGAAGCATTTATTCAGCGAGATTTGCATGTGCATGGCGCAAATAAAGTGATATTATGCATAATGTTGGCTGAAGGTGTTCACCAATAAGACATTACACCATTCAAGGTGTACTTTTGCAGGCTGGAGCTCTCTGCCCAGAGAGGAAATGACAGGTCCCTCCCCATCCACATGCCTTTGTTGCCATCGCCGTCGCCATTATATCTTTTCACCTGTGTCGTTTTCGCAGTTGAAATTCCAGACTGTTCTAGTAATATTTGTCGTATTTACTTGGTAGGTGCCTTGGGTTCACCAGACGCGTCGAGGACGGGCTTACCCCCTCGGTAGAACCACCAGAACCCACCGCCAATAGCGAGGGCACCAGCGACGAGAATCTTGTTACTGAGAATAAATCATTAGTCCAGTTCACCCTTATCTCAATTCGTGTATCCATACTGATTCTGGTTCTGCTTGGGCGGCTTCGCCTGGTACGGCTCGGAATCACGGAGGATGCTCGAAGTGCGGAGTCCTCGTTGGGCTGCAGGGAGAGGTCGAAGGACGACAGCAGAGCGAGCGACGCGAGCGACGAGAGGAGACATTTTGACAGTCAATGAATATATAGTCAGCAATTGACAAGATTGATAGTCGGCAATGAATCCGCAGATCTGAAGGAAGTGTTGACAACGGAACGGACCTAAGGTAAGTATCAAGGAGGAAAACGCCTCCACTCGCGTCGGGAACTCGTCTCTCTTAAAAGAGGAGGTGAACCGTTACTTGCGGGGAATTTCTTGCCGTCATTGATGAGTGACGGGGCGCGCATGTCTGATATTATCCAGGTCTTCAGCAAAGTCACATCATGGTATTTGGAGAAGCTGTTTGGGGGCATGTAAGCCGTGCTGCGAGCCGCCACAGTACGGACGAGGGACTTATCGAGTACACAAAGGAACCCCGGATTTTCCCCAGACGGCAGCCCGGTAGGTAACATCTCCAGGGATGGGTACCCCTGACTTAGGCGCCTTTGGCTTTTGACTGGATGAAGGTAGCCGTTGTGTCCTGAGATGGCGGGCAAGTGCGGAGAGGGAGGCTTGGAATCGGCTGATGAGTGTTGCATTGGTTCATTGATGGAGGGGCTTTTGCATGTTGTCTCAATTGACCTGTTCACCGCCTCAGCCACCCTATTGTGTGATGGCTGTTTTCGCATTCTCAAAGTCATAGTCTATGTCTTCGACATTTATTATGTTCATAAAGCTCAGAAGAGGTTAACAATGGGTCCATTTCTATTCTAATCCGTCAATATCCACTCTCTAGCAGGGGTCTATCTTCGGCAGCTAAAACTCGACCCACTCGGTTTGAAGATCTCAAGATGAGGTTTAAAGTTGGTTCACGATGCCAAGACTGACACAGTTGAAGAAGTTGAGGGCAAAACTATCAATTAGGCTTTTCATACTGTCAACCCATTAGTAATTATCCAAGCCCGAGATTCAAATGCTACTTGTCGAGGGGCTATAGATTCCACACAATCAAAAACAAGGAACGGAACGGTTCGTATCCATTCCCACTTCTTGGCAACCTGCAGACATCACGCAACTCCTTCAATTACTCGTGTTACAAATCCCCTACGAGAAGCAATATTTGCATAAATTGTAACCTCACAAATTCTCTTGTGGGTACCTTTGCCCGATAATTGCCGCGGCAAAGTCTGCTGCCTGAGATGTGCGAAGACTGAAGTCATGCCAGGCCCTGCTTCAATGTTCAACACATGAGTAACAAATCAGCTCGCTTCTATAGGATTACTGTGAGTTAAATATATATTACTGAAATTTCCATTTCTCCTTCTAGCATCTTGCTGTTCCTGGTCAGCTACCCTTCATTTGATTCTCCTCTTTGTCTCTTAGACAAAGCGCTGCCCATTTGCAAGCTTCCAATCATTTTGAATTTTGAACATCCTAGCCAATATACCCCTACGTTCAAGGAAACATCTCACGATGCTTGGTTCTGGTGGAACTGCCTGATACGAAAATTGAACCGAGAACGTGGGCTTGCTGGTGGTGATTAACATCTCAAGTCGTGGAGTGGTTTCTACTACACCTACCTAAGGTATATATCATATAAAACCTCCATGAAGGGCAGTAGCTCATACATCTAGGCAAGATATTTCGTTTATCTATTTCAAATAATGACGATAACAAGTATTATCCGGACCCATCATGCTCTCGAATCTGATACAAGTCACCAGGTTCGACAGCTTACCAACAACACCCAAGAGTAATAGCTCTGAAGCTGAAAGCACCGTTTTCGCGCATGTGTACATACAATTGAGGGGTCTGACTGTGGAATATTAATGATTTCGATCTTCTTGTCTGGTTACATCCAACATCACTTACTTGGGTTGCAACGATCTGAACAGTTGGATATGGATACACTTTTGATCGCACTCACAATCGCGGGCACTTCGGTTTCTGAAACAATTGAATAAACGACACCAAAAAGCTGTAATACCCAAACGTCACCAAACTAAATCAAGTCGGTTCTCATCTCAAGTATTTAATACAGGGTAAGCCCCTCACTCAGCTGAACCCCTATTCCCACGTGTACTATCCACCCCCACCTAACCTCACCGTTCCCGCCCATCAACAGTTTCCCTTTTCGGTCACCGCCTTCAATTCTCCAAAGTGTCCCCTCCACTCACTACCCCCAGCAAAACACAAAGATCAAGCTCAACTTCGGCTCCCCCTACGAGCTTCTTCTCCCTCTCTTCTCTCCAATTCCCACTCTTCGTCACACCACAGCAATCATGTCCCTCCACGTCCCCATGGCCCATCGCACCAAGGACCAGGGCGCCACAAAGGCCGTCATCCTGGTATAGCTTCACCCTCCCCACGCCCCTCTATAAACTTGCTGTTCTAACAGAGTAATTGTTCTAGGTCGGTGGTCCTTCTCGCGGCACCCGTTTCCGCCCTCTCTCCCTCGACGTGCCTAAGCCTCTATTCGAAGTCGCCGGCCACCCCATCATCTGGCATTGCCTCTCCTCCGTCGCTCGCGTCCCCAACAAGCAGATCCAGGAAGTCTACATCATCGGCTACTACGACGAATCTGTCTTCCGCGACTTCATCAAGGACTCCGCCAAGGAGTTCCCCGCCATCACTATCAAGTACCTCCGCGAGTATGAGGCTCTTGGAACCGCTGGTGGTCTCTACCACTTCCGTGATGCTATCCTCAAGGGCCGCCCCGAGCGTCTCTTTGTTCTCAACGCCGACGTTTGCTGTTCGTTCCCTCTTGACGAGATGCTTAAGCTTTTCAACGATAAGGATGCTGAGGCTGTCATTCTCGGAACACGTGTGAGCGACGAGGCCGCGACAAACTTCGGTTGCATTGTCTCCGATTCTCACACCCGCCGTGTTCTGCATTATGTCGAGAAGCCCGAGTCGCGAATCAGCAACCTCATCAACTGCGGTGTCTACCTTTTCTCCACCGAGGCAATCTTCCCCTCTATTCGTTCCGCCATCAAGCGCCGCCTCGACCGACCCTCTCGTCTCGTCTCCTACCCCTCTTCCGATAACCTTGAAAACAGCTTCGTCCTTCCTGACGACGACGATGATGACGAAGAGAAGAAGAGCGAGGTTATTCGCCTGGAGCAGGATATCCTCTCTGACATGGCCGATAACAAGCAGTTCTACGTTTACGAGACCAAGGACTTCTGGCGCCAGATCAAGACTGCTGGCTCTGCTGTCCCTGCCAACGCTCTCTACCTCCAAAAGGCTGCGCAATCCGACCACAGCGAAGAGCTTGCCACTCCTAGCGCAAACATCGTCCCTCCTGTCTTCATTCACCCTACAGCCGAAGTGCACCCCACTGCTAAGCTCGGCCCCAATGTGAGCATCGGCCCCCGTGCTCACATTGGCGCTGGCGCCCGTGTCAAGGAGAGTATCGTGCTCGAGGACTGTGAGATCAAGCACGACGCGTGCGTTCTCTACTCCATCATTGGCTGGGGTAGCCGCGTTGGCGCCTGGGCTCGAGTTGAGGGTACCCCTACCCCTGTTGGCAGCCACTCGACCAGCATCATCAAGAATGGTGTCAAGGTCCAGAGCATTACCATCCTTGGCAAGGACTGCGGTGTCGGCGATGAGGTCCGCGTGCAGAACTGTGTCTGCTTGCCCTACAAGGAGTTGAAGAGGGTAAGTTCCCAACTCGAGTTATTCGATGAGCACCCCGCTAATAGAGTTACAGGATGTCACCAACGAAGTCATTATGTAAACGAAGCTCGTTTCTACAATCTAGACTAGTGCAAAAAGTTTGCGTTTGATCTTCTTTGAAAGAGGCGCTATATATCCTTAAAAGTTGAGGCCATCAAAGCGTAATGGAGGGTGTATATAGGAGTGATATCTGAGGAACAAAACTGCTTCCCATCAGGTCACATCAAGAGGAATGACTATTCAGTAAAGCAAGTAAACAGCGATAATGGACTTGTATTCTTGTCCAAGCCTATCCACCATATTTTTAACTTGAAAGCTGTGATTTTTGGGGAAACACCATTCCCGTCCTTTCTAGTCTTGATCTAAGATTCACGTTTCTATAATCAGGGGTATACTGTCATACCGCACCTCCTCAGAAGTGGGTGTTTTTCCTATCGCCAACCATACCTACCGGGGTACGCAGAAAGTAATAACCACTGCAGACCGGCTATGCAAGCTGTTCTATCTATCCAAGAAATGTACCAATGAGATCCTGGCTATATATAATGTTACTGCAAGGATGCGTGATTCATGTCTTCGTTCGACTTCATAATGATGAAACCCCGAATACGAATTTTTTGTATTCGAGTGTATAAGTTGGTGGGTATTTTGATCGATATATGTATCGAAAAGATCAATCGTCTCTCTTAAAGTTGGATCGACTTGGTGTTCTGGGCAGTAGTGGTGTGCTTGGTCGACTCGTGGTCAACCCCATAGGGCTATCCATAGGATTGACAGTCAGTCGGTTCGCCAAATTGCGAGGGGTTTGTAAACTCTCAATAGCCGGCTTCTCGAAGCTATGGATTTGGATTGGTGGAGGACGGCGAATAGCCCTATCTGAACCATTGTAGATCCAAGTAGAGAGGAGAACCAGGAATGTGCCAATGACGAACTGCAGGCTGTGTTAATATCCATGTCTTATGCTTACGATAAAAAAACTTACTGTTGCCGACACCTCGAACTGGAACAACATAATGCTGATCAAGAAGCTGATGACAATGCTGATGCTCGTCGCAAAGTTCTTGACAATATTATCCGTATCCCGAATTACAACGCTCGCCAGCATGCCACCAGCAGCTTGGAGCACAACGGCACTCCACACAACCCAATTGTAGCCCTCGAAAAAGCCGTGCTCGCTGATTCCTTCACCATCCTGCCAAATGACACCACCAAGGCCGGCAGCAAAGATGGAGTAAAAGCTTAGTTGAACGTTTCGGATCCAAACACTGGCTTGAGTGGGACTCTCTTTGAGTAACTTTTCGAAGTAGACACCCGTCAAGCCGGACACCGTAGCAGCAACAAGAACAGAGACCAAGCCAACCGAGTAATTCATAAGAGGGTCTAGAGGCGGCAAATCATGGTCAATGCCTTGATAGGTAGCAGATCGCTTAGCTAGATGTCCAGCCTGGCTGTTATCCGTGGGTACGTGTCCAAGCTCATGAAGCGAGCGAGGGAAGAAATGGTCCGTCATGTGGCGGAGAGGAATGCTGGATGAGCTCGAAGGTGAGCCGGCTTGAGGGAGTGACACAACACATACGCCCAGCGTCAAGATGATGAGGGCAAGCCAGCGCTTGGGTCCCAAGTGCCTTCGCAGCAGTACAACACTAAACAGTGCTGTAATGAGAATCTTGTAAAAAAAAAAAAAGGTCAGCACGTACGCTAACAGGGCTTACTTTGCCAAGATGAATATGACTTAGTGGTGAGACATACCTTGAGCTGATACAGCACTTGAAAGTGCACCGCATCCAAGTTACCCACAGCGACATACTGCAGCATATTCTGCAAGGTATAGAAAGCAGCTGTCAATGCAAGTTTCCACCCATCACCAGCAAAGACAGAGTTATAGATTTGCTCGAAAAGGACTGTTGCGGGTGTCGTAGGAGCCAAGGTCTTTGAGGTATCATAGATGGCTAAGGATAGCGAAACGGCGAGCTTAATGATCTCGTTCAGAAAGACGGCGGTCGAAGTAAAGTAGCGGTGATCGCCACTCGGAGGCATAACGCGAGAGTAGTGCATGATCTGAAGGCAATGTTAGCTGAGACTAGGATGATGCGTTGCGACAAAAACTTACCAAGATAAGGGCTGAGTTTTGAAAGGTCAACTGGAATAGCACGTCAGTACCAGGGAATCTATATATTACCAAACAACATAGCAAAAAACCAGGTAGAAAGTTCGTACCGTTGTCAAAGCCCACTGCTTCTTGCTCAGACCTAGGAAGCCACCCTGGCTAGCAGGAGGTGCCTTGGGGAAGGCCTCCAGTATCGCCATTGTAAAGTCGAAAGGAGAGCTGAGTGTGTCGACGTGATGTAACAGGAGTGTGATGTGGAAGAGGAATTGGCTAGTAGTAAGAGGGCAATGCGCTCTGAAACCGCGATGGCGGCTTTGCGACACGGGCTGGGAAGTCGTTGCGACAATGGGCGAAATTCGGATTCTTTACGATGGCTCGGGCACCAGCCAACCACGTCCGATGATTTTTCTGGGTTCTTTTTCGTTCGTTTAAGTAAAATGGGGTAATATCGAGTATTCGGATCGCGCGTCAATATTGTAAATGTTCCTGTTGCAGATCCAAGGGCCCCTCCGCGATCGCAATCGTGCACTGCCAAGGCTCGGGAGCCAAATGCCTTGGGCAATATCGTCACTGCCAGTCGACGTCGGGTATCTGTGCTCGCTATCCGTACTTCTCGAAATGCCAGAGAATATTTATAAAGAGTTTCTACATATGGAAGAAATGAAAGAGAAGAAGGACAGCAGGGGAAGAAAGAGGCGGGGAGCACCTTCAAAAAAGGAAGTCTCCGTTCTTTACAGAATAGGATAAGGTAAGTAGGTAGGCAGGGAGGATACAGTGACCCTGGGGTAGTGCAAAGGAAGGTGGAAGCACCACAGCCGTCCAGCCTACAATGGAAGGAACTGTGAACTGTGAACTGTGAACTGTGAACCCCTTGCCTTACCTCCTGTTGGTTTTTGTCATAAAAATAGGACCCAGACCTATGCCCAGCCAGGTAAGGCAGGAAGGCATGTGGCAGTCGGTGCATCTTCCTCCCCACTGGCTAAGCTCTGCATGGGTGGGCGGGGATCTGACAGAGCAGGAATCAGGGGTAGGTGCATCTTTGGGAGTGTTTTCAGCAGGGCAGGGAATGAAAACTTCATGTTTAAGAGACGGGATTGGTTGAGTTTTCAATGCATTCTACTTAGCAATAAGAGCAGTAATTGCTTAATTTTCAATAAATCGTTAATAAACCTTTAAAAATTTCAACGTTGCAGTCATTAACTCTAATAACCCCTGTTTAAGTTGCCCCCGGCCCCTTTATTATCCCTGCCCTGTACCTTTTTATTCATGCCAGGAACCAAGAGGGAAAAAAAAGCTTTACAACAGGCGGATACCGGTTGATTTAACCGAAAATCTTGTCCGAGGCTGAGTGTAGAATGCACAAATCGTCTGTCTCTTGCCCTCATTTCATAGCAAGCGACAAATCTATCCACACGCGGCGGAAGAACAAGGCGCATTTCTGTTCATTTCTGAGCATGATCAGAGAGTATCATGTTAAAAGCCGTGAATCATCGGTATGAGAAGGCCGAGGTTGTCATAAGCTACTCCGTACTAAACGAGGCTATATGCTCGAATACGATGTGGTCAATCACCTTCCAATTTCAAACATAAATCTCCAAGCCAAATCAATCTCACTTCGGATCTCGAACTAAATTCGTCGTTCCCCTCCCCGGCTCCGATCCCACCGGCGCCGATCGTCATCCAAACCCCACAGACTCCGCAGCTCTTCTCATCAAACATGTCCAAGCACCAAAAACCCAACCTGCTATGTTTTTGTTTCGTACGTCATTTGCTTCCAGGGAATTACATCCTTTACTAATATGATATGTTTCGACGTCGACAATCCCCGGCTTCACACATGCTGTATTCTTTAATGGCGTCATTTATCCGACCAAACTTGCCTGCTTCTGCACTGCTTAGTGACGTACATCGTGCGTCTTCTAGATATCATATATGCAGCACCACCAGCCACGTAGGTAGACAACCATCCATCCATCCATGCTTTTTCACGTCAAAGACGCGCCTGAGACGCTGTACGACTGTACCCATGTGTGTGACATCTGCCGCCGCCCGACGCAGGCGCCTTTTTCTCGGGCCCAGCCAAAACGTCTTCCTCTGTCTCAGCTGTGACGAAAGGCCCCCCCGTAATACATTATGCAACATTTACATTCACCGCTCTGATGGTGTGGTTTCTCACTCACTCATGCGCAAAAAAATCCATCTGAAAAGGAAACCTCATCTTTTCTTTGTGCTGCCTCGACCCGCGAGGCGGTGAGCCCAATTGTCTGTACATGTCGCACCCTGATCCTAAGTTGTCCCTTCAATCATCTTGCAAACAACTAAAATCTGTTTCCCACCCATATCCTGCAAATCCTTGAGATCCAATTAGAATGTGTCCCCAAAACCAAAAAAAACTACATCCTTCCGCTTCATCCGCTACGTCCTTCCCCATCCACGTATTGCCTGATATCAAGTGCGGGTTTTCGGACTGTTCGCTCACGTCGGGTGTCATTAACTCCCAATTGTCGTGAAGCGATTTCTTTTCCTCTTCAGCATCATTCTTGTGTTTGACACTGTTGCCTGAGTCAGTGTTTTCAAAGTCCACGATGCGTTGATCACCATCTGGAATAGCTCCAACTCCAGTTGGCTGGATATTAAGTTGGGTGCGGAGTTGCATATTCTTAGTGCCAAAGTTCCAGACACTCTCCCGAGGCAGGAACAGACTCGCGCTCAAGCTATGCACCGGGACATCATCGACTCGGCGATACTGAAAGTCGCCCGCACTGTCGAGGTGGTGGAAGAAGGCAGCGTGATGAGGGCTGCGGAAGAAAGCGAGGGATCCAATGTCAAAGGTTGGATAAAGACTGCTGCCGTAAACTTCACTTAGCCAAGTCGCAAAGGACCCACCAATCCAAGATGCTTCCTCCCCTTCATTCTTGGTATTTTTGTCGTGGGCCGTCTCATCCTGTGACCTATTAGTGTCCGAGCTGCGTTGACCACCAGGGCGGCTCTCCTAAATGACCCGCGACCTCAGTTTGTCACTGCCCTCGTCTACCGATCCTTCAAAGCTGTCGTCCGATGAGCTTGACTGAATAGTGAGACCTGCGCCGTTTTCAATAAGCCATGTGATATCAGCCTCTTCATGAAGGAGCTCTGGGTGCTTTTCAATGAAAGACTTGACGCGAGAGAGTTGATATAAGTTGGCTTGGCCAAGGACAGCTCGGTTGTAACCATACGCAATACCGTTGTCTCGCATGTAACGGAAGACATCGAAAGGAATGTCTTGGCTCAAAGAAGCCTGCTTGTGTCAGCTCCTGATCAATCTTCGATGCATCACTGTGGCTGTTTCAGGACCACTTACGCCTGGCTCGACTCTCCAGAACCATTCATAGTTGCTGAGACGTTGCTCATTAGCAAATGGAGCCGAGCTCCATCGCTTCATCTGGCGGATGTCGGCGATGGGCTTAAAGGTCTTTGGGTTGCCGTCAGAGTCAATTCCGTGAGAGCCCGAAAGTTGGGAGTGATCAGTCCAACCAGGCATGTTCCAGTTCTCCTCAGGAATAACCTCGAAGAAGCAAGTAGCATTGGTAGCGTTGGAAGTGAGATCCTTGAACCTATTTGGAAGATCCTGGACACTGAAGAAAACCCAGTCGTACAAGTGGCGGTTGTTGAACTTGTCCTCAATTTGTTGGATACTGTAGAGTATAGCACTTATGTCATTTTCTTGCACAAGGCTCACCAAGGCTGCCTTGAGGGGATCATCAGTAGAAGAGGGCAAGGCTGAGCCACAGACACACAGGGTGAAGTGAAGAAGGGTAAGGGCCCCTGCCCACAAAAGAGTGAAGCGAGGGGCTTTTGCCATGATGAAGGTGAAGATAATGTTCAACGTTCAGGGGAAGAATTGACAAATGCCTTGAACGAAGAAAGGACCGGCAGGGTTAAAGGCCGTAAAGATGAAGGCTATTGAGTAGCTTAGGTAGATGAAGTGCAGGGTGGAGAGGAAGATGGTTTAAGAAAGGAGCATGAGAATGAAAGGAGTGTAAAGGCACCTTAGGTGCTGAGCACGGAAATGTTCTAGACGTGCTAAAGAGAAGGGATTGTGCTTGTGCTTGTGATTGCTTTCAATTCCAGGTTCGAAGTAGAATAACGAATCAAAGGATGAAGAATAAGAAGAATGAAGTAAGAGAAGAGAGAAGACAAACTGGGGGGGATTTGTACCTACTAATAATCCTCCACCTTGCGGTTATTGTATCCTCAGGCGAGAAGAACCAAGGAGATGCAGGTTGGCAGGTGATTCAATGTGGAGGCGGACGTGGACGTGGCAGCTGCGAGCAGGTGCAGTATCTTACCTCATCGACACCTCACACTAAACACCAGCTTGATAAGAAGAGAAGTAGTTGCCCAGACGGGAGGCTCTGGAGTGACCGGAAGAAAAGATCCGGACCGGAGAAGCCCAGGAACAACAACAGACCGGTGTTGGCGATGCACCCATTTGCCCACTCACGATAACATCATCTTGTTTCCTCACCTCCACTCGACGCCACTCTTCACCAAACATGGCATGTGATCATGAGCCGCAGCAATCTCGGTCGGTTGTGTTACAGAGGGGACGATGAAAGATAACGGTGTGTCGAGATTCACTTTGCTCACCCACATTAACCATTTGTCATGAACTTCACCAATCAAGACACTCTCAGGATGGTACTGCATGATTGTGTTTGCATGCCCTCATTAACAAGGCGTTCTTTCGTATCAAAGAGCACCAACAGTAGTCTATCGCCTGCCTGTACCCCAAGTTCGCACCGCTGGACCATCAGATCCCCGGCGGATAAGCCTCAACGCCATATTTGCCTGTTAAACAAAAAAGAGTGCCCGCCGTCCTTACCCCTGTCACCGCATAGGAACGACGTGTATTACGATGATGATACAACCCTAGAACTATGCCTTTTGTTTAAGCCTCCACATCCATTTGCTCAACGTCCACTGAGCCATCCTCTAAACTTATGTCGAGAATTCTTGCGTATTGGAGCGTCAATCGCTGGAGCTCGCGGTATTTTCCTGTTTGCTGTTAGTTTGTACAACTTTTGCCATAGTGACATCAATAACGATAACTTACCAAGAATCATAACTACACCGGTGAGCAGCTCCTTTCGATCCCATCCACAGATGTCACCTTCTTTGCTGAACCACCCATGGCCGTCCTCTTCCTCATCTTCTTCGC